AGATATAAAAATAAATTTTGAGATAATCCTAAAAACATTTTACATCAAAATTATATACCATGACAAAATTTGATGGTGCACCTTACCTCTATAGCTACGGATGCATCCGTATGCCAACTGCACCCTTTAAGTAAAAATATAGACATGGGTTGGTCTTACTCTAGCTGAATCGTATACAATGTTTTATGATTCTCTCTTTCTCTCTTCTATAGAATTGTTAGCTGAATTGTATACAATGTTTTATGATTCTCTCTCTTCTATAAAATTGTGAACAGTGTTTTACGACTCAGACCCTCTCTAGAACTGTGTACAACGATTTATGACTCAAAAGGTTTTTTGTTGTTTTGTAGGGTTAGGGATGTGATATGGCTTTGCGGGTTGCAATTTTGCATAGTTTCTCCGATGGTTCCTGACCCATCACTGTAGTCGAGAGAATTCCCTTTGACCTACTACGAATGGTTTTGGGGATTGGAATAAAGATCTGTCCCACTTTTCACATAACCTTTAAAAGGGTCCAAAGCTTCATGGGATCTATTTTGTGAACACTATCACATGTGAGTCCCGCACTCAATATTCCCCATCCACTTCGCTACGTTTGCGTCTCTCCAACTTTCCGATCAAATCAGGATACCCCAAAAGTTCTTTTCCAATTATTTGCAGCTTTAATTGAACTTTCATTATTATCAGATATGCAGATAATAATGATAACTGCAACAACAATTGATACTAATACTAAGGATTATCTAAGCAAAAAAAATTAGCTTATATATGTAAACAAAGTTATGATGATTAGTGTGAATTATAAACATAAAGAACAGGTAAAATTAACTGCTATTGATTTTCAGGATATAAGGTCTCTTTAGGAGGGTTAAGGGCATTTTTGTCAAATTTTTTTTTTACTTTTGGGTTATGATCAGTATATGCCATCAGGGTTCCATCATATCAGATAGCAAGCATCAACGCAAAGGATATAAAAAATGCCATGAGAATCAACTGAAGCTGATGCGGCGACAAGTTGGAAACCTGAATTAGGGAGGCATTCTGCCAATTTATGAAAAATAAGTAATCATTTTTAGTACTAATTAGTAGTAGTTGTGTTGAAGCTGGTTATTTAATTAATTCTTTATAGTTCTCTTGGGTCAAAGGTTAATCACGCTATTGACAGTGTCATTGACCGAAAATATTAACAGATTCATTCTCATTAACACTGAGAAAGAATTAAAAAATGAATTCAGAAATCCCTGGACAGACTCAGTTAAGAACAAGCAAAACAGTTAACTCTGTATGTTCTCTATATTGTGGACATAATGCTAAGATGAGAGGATTTACAATAGCAAAGAGGATATTTATTGAGCATTTATGGATCTTTCAAACATGACGATGCACTTAAATTACAGTGATGTTGATGCAGTTGATGTGCAGTTATCATTTCCTAGAAGGATTACCATAACGGTAACATCATCATGATACTTTCTTCTCCTACCAGCAGGCACTCTCATCAACTCCTCCGTACTGAAACCTACAAAATAACCTTTGCAATGAGAGAGCAATGAGAGAGAGAGAGAGAGCCCCATAGTGGATGCCAATCCTTTATTATTCACATCATTGTGAACTCCCAACCTGGGTTTAAAAATGGGGCCAGTAGACTCGCCTTTGGACAAGGAAGAGTAGGTTAAGTCTTGATAAGACATGTCAGATCTAAAAACTCTGCCTAGTCTTAACGAGCTGACTTGAAACAGAGCTGTAGCAAGTCTAAATCAAAGTCAGTATTTTTACCATAGCTCTCGACCACCAACAAAATATGGAATGAAGAAATCAATACGCACATCTTTGTTGAAGAAATGCCAAAAAGTCCCTTAAATTGTTGTCGTCAGTGATGAGATTAAACCCTAGAAACCTTGGGCATGTTCCTTAATTTATTGTAATAACTGGAGATTAAACCCTACAAACCTAGCAGAATGGACGTATAAGCAAGATCAAGCAAGAGCCAGTTTTAGAAAATTAGGAGGTCGAAAATGCTTGCGACTCCTGTACAATCTTGCATGACAGTTTAAATGGCATATATAGCATGGTATATTATCATGATAAATTGATCAATATGTGCAATACGTTTGCCTTTGTGCGTATTATATGGAGGCATATATACACATACAATGCAGTTTGTATAAGGTGGCAACCTTACTCATAGAAGTAAGGTTGCGATGTTCTACACCGTCCATTTTAGTTGGACAATGTAGATTTGACACAATTTTTAAGACTATAAAAAAGTGGCACATCTTTTAAGATAGTTTCAAATCTACACCATTGAAATAAAATGAACGATGTAAATTAATACAATGTTATTCTACTTCTACAAAAAACGTTACAGCCTTATATAAACTATTTCCTCTCTCTATCTATACATACGTGTGCATGTGGTTGTAGTTTATATTAGGTTGCACTCTCACTTGTAGAAGTAAGGTTGTGATATTCTATACGGTCTATTTTAGTTGAATGGTATAGATTTAATATGTGTTTTAAGACAATATAAAAAAATGGTACATTTTTTAATATAGTGTCAAATCCACACGTCTAACTAAAATAGATGATGCTTATATATATATATATATGTGTGTGTGTGTGTGTGTGTGTGTGTGTGTGTGTGTGTGTCTATAGTTGTATCCTAATGTTTCACATCTTGACATATGCAATATATGATGATCATCATCATTCGAAGCTTATCCTATCAAGTTGGGGTCTACTGCACAAATCCTATTCCGCTATTCTACTCTATCAAAGGTCATATCCTCTTCTCACTACTTCCATCCATGTCCTTTTGGGCCTTTCCCTTGCCCTTTTAGAGCCTTCCATGTGAACCAATCGCCCTTCCTAACCGATATTATATTAGATCTATGTTGCACATTGCCAGCCCAGTTAAGTCTGCTTTCCGTCATCATATGGCTTATTGGAGCTACCCCTAAGTTCTATCATATGTATTCATTCCGAATTCTATTTCTTGTCTTGTCACTCATCCATCTAAACATCATCATCTCAACTATACTCATCCTATAGATATATTGTTTCTTGACGGCCTAACATTGTCGTCCTATACAGCATGGTTGGTCTTACAACCATCTTGTAAGACTTCGCCTTTAGTTTAGTATGCGCCGCCCACCCAGCTCTAATTCTATGCACAACAGCATCCTGAATCTCTCTATTCTCCTGGATTATCGACTCAAGATATCAAAATAATTTTATTTAGGTATTTCTTGGTCCTCAATCTTAACTACTTCCACGTTTCTACTCTTGTAATTACTAAACTTACATTCCATATATTTTGTCTTAGTCTGGCTAATTTTAAAACCTTTAGATTCTAAAGGATCCCTCCAAGGTTCTAACTTTGCAATATGCAACATATCATCTGTACCATAAAATTACTACAGATATTGCTATTTGGTGTATTAATATTTGAATTAGAAGGCTACATATTGACAACACATCTCTTTCCATTTCCTTTCCATACACACAAACACATATATGAAGGTATGTAGAGTGTACACTTCTAATAGCTGCAATTGATGTATCCACATGTGTATGTGTATGAAAATATTTCACTACCCCCCAAGAGCGCACAACTACAACGATCCATCATATCCTATTTTGTGGGCCTTAGGGGCATCTGTTTTGACCTAAATTTTGCACACGCTTGGACTTGGAAAAGAAACCCCTGACAAGAAGTTGGAAAAAATCCCCGAAAAATGGTTTCTTTGAATTGGGTGAGCACATTGTTGGGGTTTGTGGCATTCAAAGCTATGAAAGTATGCAAATATAATAAATATAGTGAATTGTGCATGTTAGTGGGAGTGTATATTGGTTGACTAACCGATCGTTGGGCAATCTCTGGCCCAGTTCAAGTCCAAAAGCCCTTTTCCCTAGGCATATACACTATCGTTGAGGACTTCTAGAGGATCATACCTTCTTGTGGTCAAAGAGATACCCAAAGGTGATGTTTTGAAAGCCAAGAGAGTTTTGTGGTCTCCTGTGTGTGGTTGTAGGCTTGTGAGAACGGGTACCAAATCCTCAAGCAAACCTTTAGAGAGATACTTGTACATATGTATAGAGAGAGTACCCCTTGCACTATAGTGATATGTGCCTGTGACTTACTCTTAGGGGAAGAACCTGTAATTCATATACTACGACCGTAGTTCCACTATATCAGCTTTGATGGGCCAATCCTAAGCCTTGCACATAACTGTAGGTCATGGGTTCCGGGGTTTGTTTTTGAAGAGAGTCATGTATCACGGTTTCTAGCATGGGTGGATCGCCTTGAGAGTCAATTTTTATTGGCACATTGGTACTAACCAACTTCAGATGTGTTTTTGAGTTTTTTTTTTTTTTTTTAAGAACTTCATAAATATTATTTTCAGCTTTATTTATGTTCCTAGGATTTTTGGATATTTTTTAGAATTTTTATAAATTGTTTTAATAGCCTAAAATACAGAAAGTACATTTTTTGAAACTTTTAGAACTTGTAGGGGCATAATGGGATCCATGTGCAAAGGAAGAAAAAAGAAAAGGAAGGGGGGGGGGCAAGGACTCAACCCATGTGTGACTCGCCCCATTTAGTGTAACACCCCATAGATCTTCCAATAAGATGGGAGATGTGCTCAGGAATCCTCTTAGATTTGGAAATTTCTTGTTAGAGGAAATCTTAGAAAAATATTAGGGAAACATTTTGTAATAATATTTTGTGGGAGTAGAGAATACTTCATGTTTTGAAATATTCTTTCTGTCTTTGAAATTTGACCAAGACTCTTTTTTACTTTGAATTTCTACAATCCCTTTTTGAGAGAAGAAATTCTAGTCAAAATAAAAGTTTATCAAAAAAAAATTCTAGTCAAAATAAATATGAGATTCGATTGGTCTTATCCTAATTTCACTAGAAGTGGATATGGGTCAAAGATTCAAGAGATACGATTGCTAGATTCCTCCATAAATCATGATGGTTGATTTCAAGGATGGATGACTCTGATTAATTTCTCTGTCACCTCACAAACTACCATGAAATTTTTTGGTCAAACTGAATCCGTATTGAGATTGGAATACCTTAGGACCTTGAAGCCTATATAAGAGGGGCCCTCCCCTCAATCTCTTCACCCTTGTTTCTCAGACTTCTCTCTCTTTCTCTCTCTAGGTGGCATGCCCCCCTAAAGACCTAGGGGCGGCAGACACCACCTAGGATAAAAAGGGGGGCACGCCTAGCCATAGTGTTGGATAAAGGAGGTGCCACATAGTGGCATGCCCCAAAGGTTTTAGAAAGGGTCTAAAGAAACCCTAATTGTATTCCAACACTAAAACGGCCAAAGGTTTTAGTATTCTATGCTCGCAACCATAGTTTTGTGATAGCGTATTCCAGAGGTGCTTCTTAATTCTGAGGATTCAGCAAGACTAGAGGATCAGAGTGCACTACTGGTTTGGTAATCAGGTGTGGGGTGTGTTGAGTCCTAAGGGGGTAACCCTAGGCAAAGGTTCAGCAAGTCTTCCGAATTTCGTTTATTAATTTTATTTTCAATTATTGGTTCATATATTAATTTTATGTTCAATTCTTGGTTCATATATGTTTGGTACTCCTAATTGTATTGGTAGTCCTATTTGAATTAGGATTCCTACTTGGACTATGACTCCTACTTAGATTAGAATTCCTAATTGTATTAGAATTTATATTGTAAGACTAAATTTCAATTTTGAATAAAAGTGTTTTTTTTTTTACTATAAGAATTAAATATCCTAGATTGTAGTATATATGTATATATAATATCATCATCATCATCTTAGCCTTTTCCTAATTAATTGAGGTCGGCTACATGAATCTTAATTCTCCATTCTGCTATATTAAATGTCATATCCTTAGTGAGGCCATCTTTTCGGACTACTTTCAACCATGTACTTTTGGACCTACCCCTTGCCCTTTTCAATTCAAGTATTTGGACCTACCCCTTGCCCTTTTCAGTCCTTCCACTTGAACTAACTCGCACCTCCTAACAGGAGTTGTGTACTTGGTTGGCGCCATGCATGGCTAGCCCATCTAAGTCTACTTTCTCTCATTTTAGCGCCTATCGGTGCCACGCCTAAATTCTCTCAAATAGATTCATTTCGAATTCTATCCCTTGTTGTCTTGACACTCATCCATCTCAACATCCTCATCTCCACTACACTCATTTCATGGGTATGTTGTTTTTTGTCCACCCAACAAAGCTGGTCTAACAACTGTCCTATAGAACTTGCCCTTCAGCCTTATTGGTATGCGGTGATCACTTAAAATTCCAGTTGTACATCTCCACTTCGCCCACAACACTCTAATTCTGTGTGGGACATCTTCCTCGATCTCTTTATTTGCTTGGATTATCGACGCAAGATATCGGAAGTGCAATCTTTTTTGTACTTCCTAGCCGTCAATCTTGACTACTTCTTCGATCTCTCTATTTGCTTGGATTATCGACCCAAGATATCGGAAGTGCAATCTTTTTTGTACTTCCTGGCTATCAATCTTGACTACTTCCTCGTCTCTACTTTTATTATTACTAAACTTGCACTAATATACTTTGTATTAGTCTGACTAATTTGAAAAACTTTGGATTCTAGAGCATCCCTCCAAAGTTCGAACTTTGTGTTGACACCGTTTCAGATCTCATCAATCAAAACTATGTCATCTGCGAACAACATGCACCGCGGTACCTCATCTTGTAGATGCCTTGTTAAGTCGTCCATAACTAAGACAAAGAGGTACGAACTCAATACTGACTCTTGATGTAGACCTATTGTCATTGAAAACTCACTCGTCTCTCCACTAATTGTTCGTATACTAGTTAGCGCTCCATCGTATATATCTATCACGAAGTCGATGTAGTGTTTAGAGATGCCTTTCTTTTCCAACACCCGCCAAATCAAATCTCAAGGTACTCTATCATAAGCTTTCTGTAGATCAATAAAGACCATGTGGAGGTCTTTTCCCTGTGCCCTAAACTTCTCAATAAGTTGCCTAAGTAGGAAAATAGCCTCAATTGTTGATCTTCCTGACATAAAACCAAATTGGTTTTAAGATACACTCGTTTTATGCCTTAGTCATTGCTCAATGACTCTCTCCCAGAGCTTCATAACATGGCTCATAAGCTTGATCCCTCGATAGTTTGTATAATTCTGTATGTTTATTTTGTTCTTGTAAATAGGTACCACAATATTTTTCCTCCATTTGTCTGCCATTTTCTTTGTTCTCAACACCTTGTTGAACAACTTCATCAGCCAGTCAATGCCAATTTCCCCCATGCGCTTCCAAACCTCTATCGGGATACCATCTGATCGTAAAGCCTTTCCAATCTTCATCATTTTCAAAGCTTCTTTCACTTCCAACATCCTATCCTACGAATGTATCTATGACCTCTAACGTCACTTGTACCAACAGTCCCTGCTACCACTACGTTGCCATTGTGTTCATCATTTAATAATTTTTGAAAATAGACTCTCCACCTTTCATTGGCCTCGTCATCCTTCACCAAGACCCTTGGATTCTCACTCTTAATACATTTAATATGGTTAAAATCTCTATATTTTTTCTCTGTTATTTTAGCTAATTTGAAGATATCTTTTTTACCTTCTCTTGTTCCCAGTTTATTGTATAGATTATCATATGCCTTAAGTTTAGCTTTACCTTCTATTTGTTTAGCATTTTTATATTCTTCTAAGTTTCGATCGTTTCTATTACACTGCCAAGTTTTATAACATGATCGTTTTTTGTTAATGGCCTTCTGAACCTCGTAAAACTTCTTTTGCCACTTTCTTAATACATTCAGCCATCTCATTCCATATTACATTGACATCATGTTCAGAGTTCCATTTTCCTTCTTCAACTAATTTGTCCCTAAATAAGTCTATTTTCTCCTTTTTTAAATTTCACCACCTAGTTCTTGGATGCCCATTACTTCTACCCCTTCTCGTCCATGTCTTTATGCAGACGTCCATGATATACACACACACAGATATACACGCACACACACACACACACATACACATACACATACACACACAAAGAGACCATTTACTTTTTGTACAAGGAGGTCACAACTATTCCTACTCATTAGACGTCAAATTAGGATGGCTTGAGGTAAGTCACGATGTCCGAAAAAAAAAATTAGAACTTTGTGTCTATTCAATGATACTCTTAAAACCACCCACTTTAAAATTTAAAGGACAAGAATGATTGTGACCTCCTTGTACAAAAAGTAAATGGTCTATTTGTAGACAATCCCATATATATATATATATATATATATATATATATGCATGAAGTTTGTATAAGCTTATAAGATGCCCTCCTTAAACAATCAAAGTAAATTGCACTTCCAAATCTTGTTGGAAGTTGCAGTTTTGGTGCTGAAAACTTTTACGATGGCCTTAAACTCCATTTTCACCCCAAACTATGAAATTTAAAGTTCCAAAATGGTGCAGATCAAACAGCTCTATGAACACTTAAAAGTTTTAAAACAGGTGATCTAGATAATGTCACAAGATGCACTATTTTTAAGACTTGGAGCCCCTATTCATATCTAACATCTCAAAGTTGAGATGATCTATTGGTGAGTTTTTCAGTGTTGAACAACTTTTTTGGATGGGTTTTTGAGGTGGACCTCACTTCTATAGTATGTGGTTGAAACCTTTTATAAACTTTTTCCTAGATGAAATTACGGTTCCATTAAAAATGCAAACCCTAGATTGGATTGCCATTGTGTTTTGGTCCAATGGTGTTAGTGAATACCAAAATATGCCTTTGAGAAAAGGGATGAAAACTGATGGTTTCAATTTATTTGTCCCACTCACAAAAGTCAGCATCTTCAATGTCTATAAAGACCTATTTGTATTCTAAAAAGGTGCTCAAAGGGACACTCTCAACTGTAAAAGTGTTGACAACCAAAATACCACCTCAATGATGCCAACATATGCTCTAGGGCAGCATCCAAACTGGCCCTAAAACTTATTATAGAGAAGAAGATGAAACTCTACTGAGAAAGGACCAAGGAGAATCCAACTTTGCCACAAATAATATAATACCATTAAATCTCTTCATCCAATTTGAGATGAGAAACTTAAGGTCTCAGACACAGAGACCACATAAGAAGGAAACACAATTTGTCCAAAGTCCTAACAAGGCATTTCCGTAGAAAGCGAAGTAAACCCTAAAACATTCACAAATGGGAACAACAAAGAGACGGTCTAATTCAAGTGGATGAGGAACCACTATTTCCCTTTCGTCTTTATGGTTGGGCAAGCAGGGCTTGAAAAAACAACCTCATAGTTGAGGTAGCGAGCACCTTCCAATAAAGCTACAGATCTGACCCCATTTAGAGCCCCATCTAATCAATCGAAAAATCCCCCAATAGATACCCTTACTGATTTTAAATGGAACATAAATGAATTTCTAAGTTTTCCATACACAAAATGGAAAGAAACCTACCCAATCCACAGGCAAGCTAAACATGAGGTCATAAAGAAAATCACCATGTGAGTCAGAGAGAACTACATGACAAAACCATGGTTTAGTGATACTAATGCACTAATGATGAATAATAAGATGATAGTGGCTCTTTCGGTGCCTCTCTAAACAGTAAAAAGATATTACGATGCAAATTTTGAAGATAAAGAGCATATAAAATGATTCAGTCTTAAGGAACTTCATCTTACACCCATTCTGGGAATTTACAGAAAAATTTATACCAATACCTGCATTTGCTGCTGCTCTTTTCACAAGCTCTTCTAGAAGGAACTTCGCAGGGTCACCAGATGGGTTCCTTGAGATAAACGAGTAAACCAGCTGTACAGCTTCAATATTGCTGAAGAAATCAAACAGGCCATCACTGCCAATAATGACAAACTCATCACATTCAGTGATCCTATGAATGTTCACTGATGGATCAGTACCAATATATGGTGGACTCAACAAGTTGCGAACCCGAAGAATGCCCATCAATGCATCGTTCATTTCACCCTAAAAAAATATATAAATAAAAAAAACGAATTGATAAAACTTGTCACTTGTTGAGTATGTGAGTAAAATAGAATCCATTCTATGAGATACTAGAAAGCTAAAAAAGCAGCACTTATAACTCAAATGGTAATCCAAGAATGTAACCTTTTTCAGGTAACCAACTCCAAACGCACGAGTTAACCTCAACTTCCCTTTCACTCTTCCAGCAACAATTGTCACGGGATCATCACAATGATCAGCAAGAAGTTGCATTCTTTCTTTTTCATTATCTACTGTATGACTATCTGTAAGCTGAATGGCTTTCAAAACCTTGTTCTCATCCTCATGGTCTACTTGGCTCTTCGTTGCCAAAACAGCTCTGCTATCACCTAAATTTAGAGTATAGAGATCCTTCCCATGGAGAAGCACAACAAGAACACAAGAACCAACTGAAACTAAATCAGGGCGACCATCCATTTCATGTTCAACCATATACATGAAGTCATTCTCAGCTTGGGCAAGGGCCTTATGGAGACAATCAACCACTCCATGCCTGAACGAATCATCAATATCATTACTTCTCAAAGGATATTTTTCCTTGGGGTTACAGCCTTCCAATAAAAACATGGAGCCTTCCGGACCATTATCATTTAATGCTGAAACATTTTGCCTCCCCATATGCCATTCCAACAAATTCAGATGAAATCCGATGTTTTCATATAAGGTTCCTGCCAAAAAATCAGCAGCATCACGGCCATTAAATCCATCATAAATCGCACAAAAGAGCCATCCATTATCTTCGGAATGTACAGCTTGAACTCTATCTTCGCCAGCAGCTCCACCAGCCACTTGTAGATCCATAGCATTGAGAAAGCCTTCACTCTTTGCTGGAGCACTCATAGGTTTCAGAAAGCTTGATTCACATTCAGATATTTCATTCTGAGTTGAGAAACTACAGCTCAATGTTGAGACCGTGCTCTGGAATGAAGATGACAATATATCCAAATTAGAAAGGGATGGAGAAGATGGAATCCTTCTAAACGACCTTGGAGAATCCAAACTAGGCAATATTTCTGACCCAATTAGGCCATTGCAGATATTTGTATTTGCCAAGGTTGCATTGGCGCTAAGTGCTGCCCCAGACAAACAAGAAAATGAGCTATTCCTCTTGAATCTTGAAGATTGCATGCACATTCTTGGAGCCTCAGGCTCATAACTCTCTTCATATGGTCTCTCTGGATCATTGTTCCACTGGTAGCCAAAACTCACATTAAGCTCTCCATCAGGCTCAATGAACTTTTCTGACATCAACATGACTTCAGCAGAAGAGAATCGTCACTCAGTCAGTCAATTGACTGGAAAGAGAATATCAATCTTACATTAGATAAATCCCCACAATCAGAAGGAAAAGTAGATACTACAGAGTACAGATATATAGCATACTTACATACATAATACATGTATTAGTAAGCATGGTGAAAGCATTCAAAATTACATATAAAATGTGGGTTTCCAAATGATCCCCTTTATATAACTGCACATCAGTTCCCTTACTCATAAAACACATTTAAGAAACTTCCTTTAATATTCTCCCTTCCCTTAGCCAAATCAACTTTAGCTCTCCTTTGTAAATGCCCTCGCCTGCCTTGCCTCAAGTCAACAGTACATCCTTTCCTTCATTGACTCTACAAGCAATCCCTTGGATTTCCAAAGCCACTTACCATTCCCCATGCCAACCTTCTTAATTAAGATACATTCCCCTTATGAACCCCATACGATCCCTTCAGAACAAACCCTGTTACTCTTCATTTTCCCCTATTAAACCCCTCAAGCGCAAGGAAGGCAAGCAGCCTGAGTGAGCCTTAAACCTAGTTTGAACCCCTTGAACTCCTCCTTCAAGCACATAGAAATAAAAATGACAAGAGGTCTTGACATATCAAAACACTAGAACTCTGAGACCCCTTAAGAGATGCTTATTTTAGCACTGTCCCCACATGAGTCATGGATATCAAGAGAGCACCCAATACTATTTATCTCAGAAATGGAAGGAGAGGCACATTTCAATTCTGTCCCTCCGCCAAAAAAACACCAAACCTCCGCTTTTTAAGAAGAGGAAAGATTTTACCTCTCTTTGAAACCATCCACTGATCTGGTGTCCAAATTAAGCTATGGTTGATCCATAGCGCCACCGATGTTTAACGAGGCAGGATAAAAGCATTAGGTGCACAATCATTGAATATGTCCATTTTCAAGAATAATTGTTTACAAGATAGCGGTGGTTCTGACTTCTTTGTTTTATTTAAGAGAATTGTACTAGGGATATTGGTTCTTGTAACACCACTAAGTCATTAGAATAGAAATAATAAATATTAGTATCTTAAACTCTGATATTTAGGAATAGCCCTGTTAAAAAACTCAACATCACTGCTGAAACTGATTCGACTCACCAAGTTAAAAAGTTAGGTTGGAAAAACAAGAACGAGTTTTCCCAATATGTGAAAATTTTGTAAGAAAGTAAAGAAGTGCTTGTAATGGGATTCAAACCTAGCTCATTACCAAGTCAAAACACACTCTTAACAAATTAGAAATTGCCATTTTTGGTGTCAACATGGCACAGAAAAATATGCATAACCAAAAGTTCTGGTAAATTGTAAATCTATCATTTGTAAAACAAGGCAACTGGAGAATCAGGTGACTTGGCAAATTTTTATGAATTGAAAGTAAGTTTCTAATCATTGTAAAACAGCATTAGAGAAAATAATCTTTTCTGGTAGAGGACAAAACTGGAAAGTGCCCATTCAAACAATTATGACAAGGTACAGAGTTAAAATCACCATCTCACATGGGTTACCTGATAAAAGAAGCCCTTTAAACTATAATAATATCTTCAACGGCTAAAAATAGCCCAAGTTCCAATCGTGGATATTGGGCTACTAATAAATAAAACGTGAGTAGCACCATACATCTGAATCTAAGAAAGAAAGAGATGTTGTTTTGTTTTATTGTTACACCAGATTTGTCTCTATGTTCCATCTTATCAAATGCAAGGGATAGGGGATAGATCCATCCCTTGAAGGCCCATTTGGGTCCTTGAAAATTAATTTCTAGAATATTCTTCCCTTGAAATGAGACAACTCCAATGGTTTCAAATGATTGTTTGACCTCAGTTTTGGGAAAAGGATCCTCCAGCTAAATATGTAGAAACTTCATTATCTCAAAATGAATCTTCGTCACCCCAAATTATCTGTCACTCTCTCTCGCTTTCCCCCCTACAAACCCCATGCCCTCTCAATCTCCTGCAAACCCTCAATCATCTCTCTTTCCTTGGAATTTTCAAGAAATATTTTTTTTCAAAGAGCCAAATGGGCCGTAAATAGTTAACTCAGAAGCCCACTAGCGCCACAAGTCTGATAGATTATACCTCTTGATTTGTAACTGTGGATTTATTTAATTAATGCATTAGATTTGCGAAAATAAAATAGAAAATGTAGGCAAAACAAAAGGAAAAAGAAAAGAAAACACATGGACGCACCACAGAAAGCAATAAGAAAAAGGCAAATGATCAAAAGACATTACAATCTTTCATGCTCCATAGAACTCCAAACGAGGCACTAAGATTCTGAGATTAATTACCCGCTATAATCTAAGGGAAGGAACTACAGTAACCCATGCAGTATAAGTGTAGAACCAGCATCCTCCAAATAGATATTGCAGTTTGATATCCCAAAAATATCATAAAAATGAAAAATTCAAAAGTGTGTATTTCGTCCAAGCTAACCACTCGACCTTGATATAAGGAGTAGGGCAACAGTGAAACCAAGAAACCCGGATTACTCAAATGACATGAGTCCTAAATAGTAATTCTTTCGAAGTTCTATAAGCTGACCACTATTAATGATTAATGACCAATCCTATGATATCATTACAATCCCAAAATACAACTAAACAGAAGGATCAGAAATATTAAATAAAACAAACAGTTTTCTGCTGAGCAATATTTAACAGATATGAACAATAAGAAAGGGCACAAGAATTGACAATAATAAAAATTCTATCATGAACAAGTATGAAATACCACTTGAATAATTCGGATGGTAACAAAAAAAACTCAAAGATAACAAGAAATCTCTTTCAGACATTAAAACTCCGGTGACTTCATTTTATACATTGATGCATAAACACTAACAGGCGCAAATTAATATCAATTAAAAGTATAAATCGCCATTGGAAAACCCTTAAAGAGAAAAAAAGGGATCCTCTCAAAGTCCTAGTCTATAAACTTCAAAGAAAATGGGGAAAAAGTGAAAACAAAAAGAGAAAGAAACGAGAAAAATCCAAAGAAGATGCTAATAACTTACTTCTCTGATGAACCCTAAATTTGATAATGGTTTAAAAAATAGCAGCAATTGGGAAAGAAAAACCAGTCGAATTTCCCCGAAAGAAACTCAGAGCTTGGAGCGAGATTTAATCATAAACGCAAGAAAGCGGGAACTACACCCATATATGACCATCTCAATTCCTGTTATTACCAAATGGGTCATTACACTTCTATTAAAAATGGCGATTATACCCTTCATTGTGGTCATATTTAACAAGAGTAACTAATAGCATTAAGAGTCATTAAGATGTTAACAAATTAGCAGAGTTTTACTCGAATAGAGAAGGGGCATGGTCGCAGCGTTCATATAATTAATTAAACGTCAAAGTTTTTTTTCAGACAATTAAATTAAATGGGAAAGGTTTCTATACTTCCCCTGCCACATAGAAAATATATATTTTCCCTCCCATCCGTCTAATTTAGATCAAGTCATTTATTGATCGTTTGATTTAGATCCAACGTCTGAAAATATTTTATTTTTAATTTTTTTATACAAATTATATAAAAAGTAGTTTATATTTTGAGAGGCATATAACTACATTTGCATCCCCTAAGATATCACATATCCATCTTAAAGATGAGTCATGGCCCCTCTAGAAATGTGCAAAAATCAATGGTTTAAAAATTTCTTTCAAAAAAATTTATCCTGTTTTTTTTTTTTGGTCACATTCATGATCTCCACGTTAGAGATTATATACCTGAAAAATTAGGTCGAAAATTCATGTAAAAAATAGATCATGAAGAGGGGAAGCATGTCTAGATATTAGTATAAGAACTCATAAAAATAGTGTCCATCAAATAAATTTAGTTTAGGTATTTTATATAAGGAAAAAGTTTATTTAAAGATGCAACCTTAATTGTAGAAGTCAGATTACATTAATCAACACCATCCATTTTATTTGAACGGTATAGAATTGACATTATTTCAAAAGAGACACCACTTATTTGATACTGACTTAAAAGAAGTGTCAAATCTACACCGTCTAGTTAAAATACACAGTATAGAACATCGCAATCTTGCTTCCACATGTAAGGTTGCATCCTTATACAAACCATACCCTTTATACAATGAGACCATTATCTTTCATATGCAAATGTCATAAACATCCTAAGGTTTTGAGCTGTAAAATTGGATGGATGGGTTGTGCATGTTTTCTAGAGCCCTCCCCCAAATCTCAAGTCTGATGATTAGGAGTGATTGCGGTATTTTTTTATAGGATATCAAACCATAAATTGCATTTTGATGGGAGATTGCATGTTTGGAGCATATTGTATGCTTGATTTCATTTATTTAGAAATACATCAAGTTAAAGAGCATTCATATATGTTTAACCATAGACAGTTTGAGTTTTTTAAATAACGTTTATGCCTGGCCCAAAAAAACAAAAAGAGACTTTAGTTTTGGGTGTGGTTGTATAAAGTGGCAACCTTAAACAATCAAAGTAACGTGCACCTCTAAATCCTGTAGGAAGATATAGTTCCACTTCCGGAAATTGTGATGGCTTGAAACCTACTTTTATCAAATTGAACACATCTATAAATACTTAAACATATTGAAATAAACGGTCTACATAGTGCATTCCAAGATCCACTATTTTCAAAACTTGAAATCTTTCTCATTTTCATATCCATATATCGATGGTCTCCTATATTTCGCCTGGATTTTTGAAGTGTACCTTAACGAACACCTTATATAAACGTTTTCCTTCAATTTTTCATCCAAATTTAGGTTGCACAACTTCAATTAATAAGATGTACTAGGAAAAAAGGGTGAATTCGTTATATGTGTTGTAGTGACGAGTAAACCTTCTTGTAGAAAGGGCACATGCAGGGTGACACACATAAACCGTGTCCTTTTCAAACTAGCCTAGAATACTTTTAACCCGTTCTCGGTGGACCCGCACAGGAAAACATGGAGTCCATGTTGATCTGCACGTCAATTTTTAGAAAGAGAGAATCGTGGACATGGGCCGTTTCAATGTATGGTGGATATGGATGGACAAGATGTGGAGATAGAACATAGTGCGGGAGATAATGTTGATTTGGATGGTTGTAAACCTCTAAGACTGAACATGGAGAAAAGATTATTGGTTACAGAGGTCCACGTAAATTTGGAATAGTTTTATTTTTTTATTCCTGGTAGAATTATAATTTTTTTTTTTCTCTCTATGTATTTGACAAGGTAAATAGTTTTTTTTTTTACTTGAATAGAGATTGTCTACAAAAAGACCATTTATCTTTTGTACATAGAGAGCACAATCATTCACACTCATAAGATCAAATTAGATGGCTTGAGATGAGTCATGAAGTCCAAGAATTTTTTTTTTGGAATTATATATATTCAATGACACTCTTATCACCACCTTTTTCAAAATTTAAAGGACAATAATGATTGTGACCTCCATGTACAAAATATAAATGATCTCTTTGTAAACAATCCCTTTTGGATAATATTTTCGACTCGACATGATTTTTTAAAAGATGAAAAAATCGAGTTTGGGTAAAGATGGTAGCAATTGGGTTTTTATAACATTACATCTCAAGTTCCATTCGTATGTAACCTTTTAAAAAATAAATAAATAAAAAAAGAAAGGGAGAAGGATACGAAGAATAGAGTAACATCGTCAAAGTGAGACCGAGAGTGAGTGTGTGAGAGAGAGAGGCAGGAACCTTTATTTCCACTATTTTTTTTTGTGTGAAGTTAATCACCAAAAGGAACCCTTCTCCCCACTCACTGGAATGAAACCCAGATAGCCACATAATGAAAATATATGTAGAATACAAACAGTGGACCACATATAGTGTACTACATGTAGTGTGGACTGTGGTATCTTTAACAGTGTTGAAAATAATTGGACTTGTGTATCAAACTGGTCGACCACCAATTTTGATCGAGCTTAAAGATGCTGGCTCATGATTCTCTAGGCCTTGAAAATAAACAAATAAAGCTTCATTTCAGTCTAGATCTAAAATCTGAAGGCTCCGGCCTCTTTAGCAAAATAAAGCGAATTTGAGAACACTGGCTAAATACAGCTCCCGATTCTTTAGGCCTTGAAAATAAGCAAATAACAAATCAAAAGAAAAGAAATATGTAGGAAACCAAGGGTCACAAACTTGAATGGGTACCTCATTGACTTCAAGCCAAGTCGTACACTTCCATGCCACGAATTTTGAACAGTGGCCCGAAATAAAAAGTCTAAAAAAAAAAAATTAACAAGAAAAGAAATGGCTAGATTTAAAAACCATGTAAGAGGCCTTATAATCAACATTCACCAGTCAATATGTTTTTCTCTCATATTTTTCTTTCATCCATGGCAAAATACAATCAACAATCACTAACCAATATATTTTTCTCTCATGCCCTAGTTCATCCATGGTTTGCTATTGCATGCAGCATTCGTTTTCTGCTTTTTCAAGGGTTGAAAATTCATCTTTGTGCCTTTTGCATCTGAACGTTTCACCTGATACTAGAAAAATGAAAATGTTGGCGAATTTTATTATATATTTATATTCGAAGTTTGAGAAGACAAAAAGTAGAAATTATAGTAGAAATACCTACCATCGGCTTGCATGGCATGCTATCACGGGAACAAACTGTACACTTTCTCCCCCTAGGCAAAAGAGTTAAAAGAGTTTGTTCCCTTAAGAGCTTTCAGGAACCACTTTAGAAATACTAGTAAATTCTCAGAAAATAAAAGATTGGTTTTCCAGTTACTAAACACTTAGATCTAACCCTCCAGGAACTGTACAACTCCACTTCAATATTAGGACATTATATTTTGGATGTGATTTGTATAAAGTTGAGGCCCTAATCAATCAAAGTAGAAATAGTGTCAAAATATGTTTCACTACTGGGAATCTTTGTGATGGCCCGAAAATTTAATTTCATATCTCATTATAAAATTTAAAGGTTAAAAAATTGTGTAGATCGAACACATCTATGAATACTCAAAGATACACTAATACAATACAAGATTCACTAATTTCATAACTTGAAATCTATTTTTCTCATATCCATACATCTTGAGGTTGAGATGGTCGATTTTAGGATTTTAAGCATCAAAACCACACTTCTAGTGAAGTTTTTAGGTGTACCTTAATTTGATTGTGTAAGGCCTCACCCTTATATAAACTTTTTCCTGATATTTTTCAATCGATATTAGGAGTTCTGAAAATACTCCAGTTTATGATGCTCCCAAGGGAAATCACTCGGCTGTCATATATAAGTCCAGTCAATAAAGGCTGGCATTTGCATGCAAATTTATCATCACTAAAAAGGTTAATCTTCATTTTACCATGAAAAAAAAGGCTGATATTAATTTGCAGTCAGCTTCTATTGCCAGCGATTTGAGCATAGGGCCATAGCACTGGTGTTCATGGTCTGAAGACCAAATAACATCCCAAAATAAACTATGAATGAATAAAAATAAATTAAGGTGAAACATACAATACACCTGTGGTTTGGTACACCACGGCATATCCACCTTCTGTACCCGGCGACAGGGTTGAAATTAACAATGAACATTCATCTGGGTATGGTTAAATTCCCACTGTCCATCGTCAACATGGAAATGCAGGACGCTCCTGCAGCCCATAACCAAAACCTCATGCCCAACACAGTAACAGTCATAGAAGGAATAGTGAACCATGTGCACTCATCGAACTAACTAATCACAACTAAGGGATAAATTGCAAGCATTCAAGTCTAAAACTCTGATGTACTCTGATAATAATCAATCACTGTTAAGGCTGAATCTCAAGGTTCAACTCCCACATATCGTGATATTTTTGCTGATCATTAGTGATCACTATGTACGGCCTGACATGCAGGATTCAAATCTCACTAATTCTCATCCCACATAAAACCATTAAGAGCCCATACATTTTAACATATTATAATTAACAATGTAATTACAGAAAAATCACGGCCACTCAATTCCTACAACTCAATACTATAGGAAATTTTGGCTATTCCCTTCTTCATCCGAATCTGGCTTATCTGCACAAGCAAGTAGAACAAAAAACTCTCAAGAGAGTGCAAACTGAGGCATAACAATATAGCTCAGTTCCTTTAACATGGACCACGAATAATTTAATTTGCAAAGAACAATTACAAAGGTATAGGGTATAAGAACCATAGAATGACATGAGCGTAAAAGGAAAATAGAATTATAAAGGACTGTTTCTCCGCAAAACCAAAACCAACTAATTGAAAGTGCTGCTTTTTTTTTGGGGCTAGGGAAAAGGAAAACAATCGGGCATGCAGTTCACATAAATAAAAAATATGCATACATAAAAAAAGGGCATTTTCCTTGAATTATAGAACTTGTAAGTTCATGGATTCATCATGCCTTGCATATGCAATGTGCCTTCTAACATGCAAAAAACATTTAATAAACACCTTCAAATATACTCAAAATTCCCTAACACAAATGCACCAATAAGTGGTCCCAAAAAGTTTATAAAATTAAGTTTATGATGATCTACATAATTATAGTACCAGCCTGATCATAAGGGTCTTCACCGTCCAATGGATGGGGATAGAGGCAGAGTGAGATGTAGTCATGTAAAAATTAGTTACATATTTCACAGGACCCACTCTCCTTCCATCATTGTCCAGTGATCACCCTTATGACCATAATCTTTCCATGATCATATGGATCATGACATATTTTCCAACAAAATTAGCATGCTTGTTGTTCACATTCCTGTGTGCATGCAAAAAATTGCCCCAAATATCATTCAGAACCCATCTCAGATCATAGAAAACATGGGAAGTAAAAATTAACCAGCTCTTGCCAATTTTTTTTTTTTTCTCCTAAGATAAATGCCCATGGTCTTGCCTGTGATCAGCACTATGCTAAATCCACAAACCCTGCTGCTACCCCTAGTGCAATTACCCTTGAGCTCATTTTGTACTCAATGAGCCCAAAATTCTAAAAATTCAAATCCCTGTTAAAAGTGTAGTTAAGAAACCAGCTTCAAGACTACTATCAACCAAGGTCCAAGTAGCATTTTAGAAATTGTAAAAGGGGATGTTGTTTCTTAACAATCCAACATTCTACCCCACAAAGCAATGTTGGTCTCACAGTTGTCCTATAGAACTTGCCCTTCAACTTCATTGGTATGCGATAATTACATAAAATTATGGTTGCACATCTCCACTTCGCCCACCCAGCTCTGATTCAATGTGCGACATCTTCCTCAATCTCTCCATTTTCTTGGATTATCGACCTATGATATTGAAAGTGCGCTCTTCTTCCTCAATCTCTCCATTTTCCGGGATTACAACCCAAAATATTGAAAGTGCACTCTTTTTGGTATTTCTTGGCCGTCAATATTAACTACTTATTCGTCTCTACTCCTGTTATTACCAAAACTTGCATTCCATATACGTTGTCTTAGTCTGGCTAATTTTAAAACCTCTAGATTCTAGAGCATCCCTCCAAAGTTCTAACTTCGAGTTGACACCATTTTAGGCCTCATTGGTGAAACCTACGTCGTCCATGAACAACATGCACCACAGTACCTAGCATCCCACTTGATCCCCACATGAGAAATATCCCTTGTAGGCTCCCAACAATGGGACCTTTATTGAAAATAGCCTCCTTAACAGTGGTGTGAATGCTACTTGACTCACGTTTCAACCATGCAAGGACCTCATGCAGATATTATGCACGGGAGACCTCAGGAATAGGCCTAAGATGCTAAAACGGATTCTTGATCCCATGGTTTTAGAAATTGCCATTAACAGAGCTAGATGAGGAACCTTTTCACAAAAAAAAATAGGTAGATGAGGCGTATATGTGGCTATGTTGCATTCAATCTACAAAAAATCACCATATAAATGAATGAACAACTTGTGATTTATGTCCAATATCCAAAGTTAACTGCCTAAGCTCAGACAATACTTAACTAAATGAGAACATCAAAGTACAATCATGACTTCAATAAAAAATATAACAAGTAACATGAGCAAGCCTAAAAGCAATAGTTGTAAATATGATGGCAAAATTTTAATTAAGGGGGGAAATGAAAACCAGGTCATTCCAAAATAGTTATACCTTCATGCTCCCGATTTCTGACATATCAGCTACATGAGTTCCACCACAAGGGCATCCAAGATTATTCCCTAGTTGTACTATCCGAGGACTACTATCCTGCAAGATTCCTCAAGACAAGCACAATTTAATCTTTAATGCAGCAGTTAGTTTATTCAGATTTTGTACTTTTTAAAGGTAGTTCCGATTCAAACTTAAATCCAATTATCAAACAGACCACATAAAGGAATCATAATGAGTGAATGACACCAATGACACCAATGAGAATGAGAATAATCTAAATAAGGAACATACACAAGGAGAAACTATATCATTTACTAGCATACACCATTTGTAATGATGCATGGATAAGTAATTTTAAGAAAAGGAGAGAGTGGCCAATCTTATATTCCTGAGGAAAAAACATATATGAAAAGGAATCAATGAGAAAAAAAGTAATAGGATAGACAATGTTGATGAAACATGATACAAATAAGGAGTGAAATTTAAGTAACAAGACATTATAAACGAGGTATGTAAGAGAGACATGGAGAGAAGCCCCACACAGTTTTCCTTCCCGTCAGGAACGTCGCTAAAAACACCATGAGACCATCCCATCAGGACCACCCATCCTCTCTAATGTAGTGGCAGTAGCTGCTGAGTACGCGGAGAAAAGAGAGAAAAAAACAGTACAAGAGGAAGAAAGTGGCATGCAAATAAGTCGCACATTCTTTGGAATATCCTAGTAAAGGGAGCATATAAATGGGTTATATGTAATACGTAGAATTGATTTGGTTGTTTTACAAGTCATTTAAGCTCATGTAAGGCAAACCTAGCCACCTTCAGCTTAAATTTGAATAAAACATTGCAGGAAAAGGGACATGGATTGTCCAGCACTCCCTCACCGTTTTCTTTGGGGACATGATATCTAGGGCATCATTCGTGCAGATCTGAACTGATTGTGCTTTTTTTAAAAGAAAAACATCAGTTCGGGCTGCATCAGTTGGTATCAAAGCAGATCGATCTTGCCCTCGGACTGCTGCTTCAATTCATGGCTCCAAGGTGTGGCCAAGGACGTGGTATTGCATGTGTAGATCACCGATGCCCAAGATGAAGTGATAGAACCTCTAAAGAGGCAAGTAGAATTTTAACCCAATTCCTTGCGCAGTTAGAAACTCTGATCCATGACAATGATGATTATGAATCAAAGGATATGGAAAACCCATTTCTTAGCCATGGTCTGTGTTGAAAGCCGTATGATAGAGAGGATGCCATACGAATACATATTACACTGAAATGAGTAGAGGTTTCGATATCAACATAGAAATTCTCATGGTGGATTAAGGGCTGAAGATTTTACTGGTTAAACACTACCATACAAAATTTTAAAAAGAGGTGCCCGATGAGAAGGTGAAGCTGGTAGCAATTAAATTGAAAGGTCGTCCGTCATGATAGCGGGAACAGTTGATAATGACACAGGAAAGAAGATGGAAGCAGAAAATCACAAATTGGAAAAAGATGAAGAAGAATATAAGCGAAAGTTTTCCATCTTTTAACCATGTATGACATTTGCCTTCTCTTCAGCAAGGAGATAAAACCTTAGATGATTGCCCATTATGACCTGTCGGAATGCGATGAACAGCTGGTCACGATGAGTAGGGGTTTGATCAAACATATATAGGACATTTTGTCCTTCAAACCTTTCTGGACCGCTTCGGAGGCATATCATCATGCCTTGGCAGTGGAAAGGCAACAAAAAAATGTGGGTTTACATCTGGAAGCTTGCTGGATAGTAGGACAGGTCAACTAAACAGAATGAAATTGAAAACCGAAGTGAGAAAGTTTAGGATCAGGCAGCAGGACCGAAAAAACATGTTGGAGCAACCAAAGAGACTTTAACAGCACACATGGTGCGCCCAAATACTCGGGTTACATCTTGGAGAAACCAAAACAGTGCATCATGCCATTGTTACAAGTGTGAGGATCCAAATCACAAGTCCTCAGAGGACCCAAACAATAAGTCCTCAATCACTTGGCAAAATATAAATAACTCATGATTGAGGGAAGAGAGCATGAAGAGGGTGCAGAATTTGATGATTAACCTGTCTGAGGAAGAATTTGGAGAACAAGATGATGATGATAATTGGGTTGTGGATGGTGATGAAGGTGACGCCCTTGCTATCGGGACGAGTTTGCTATTACCGAAACACAAAGCCAAGGAGGATTAATTGAGAACAAATATTTTCCACATCACATGCACCACCAGTGGAAAGTATGCTAGCTGATAATACCCAGCAGGAGGTGTGCTCTCCCAAATGGATTAGATAAACTCGAGTGTAGAGAAACATCCAAGGCCCTACAAGCTGCCGTGGCTTAATAAAGGGAATGAGGTAATTGTCACTAAACTGCTGCCTTGTTTCATTTTCCAATAGAAATAAATACTATGATAACGTGGGATATGTTGTTGGGAAGGCCGTGGTATTATGTCCATGGTGCTGTTTATGATAGGAGGAAGAACAAGGGAGAGAACTGCACCTATACCTGGTCAAAAGAGCATCAATTTTGTTTCAACGACACATTCTATTGCAGAGGCCCAAGAGAGTGAACTAATGCATGCCTTAGTAGTACAGATGGTGTGATGGCTGCCTCTTAAGCTATTGACGTCTAACCCCTAATAGGGGAATATCCAAATATGTGGATGATATGCCAGAAGATCTTCCTTCGGGATCGCCTCCCATGAGGGGACAGCACCACATAGACCACATTCCAGGCTCGTGTTTACAAAATAAGGCAGCATATTGAAAAAGCCCTAAGGAGCACAAGGAGTTGAATGGCAGGTTATGACGTTAATGGAAAAAGGGCTAGATAAGGGACAGCATAAGCCTAAGTACTGTACCAGCCTTGTTGACACCAAAGGAGGGGGCATTGCGTATGTGTGTGGATAGCAGGCCTATTAACAAAATTAGCATCAAATACCGCTTCCCTATACAATGTTGGATGATATGTTGGATTTGCTAGTGGGTACGGAGGTGTCGTCCAAAATGAATTCAACAAGCAAGTATCACCGTATCCACATAAGGCCTGCAGAGGAATGGAAGACAACATTGATTATATTAATGGCTTCTAATACCATTTGGGTTGTCTAATGCACCTAGTGCATTTATGATGTGATGAATCAGGTGCTTAGAAACTTTATTGGGAGGTTTGGGGTTGTATACTTTGACAACATCTTGTTGTGTGGCCCTTCCAGAGCAGCTCACAAACAGCATTTGACGTTTTTAAAGTTTTGACAAGGGATATATGAACCTCAAGTTTAGTTTTCTGACAGACAGCGTGGTGTTTCTTAGATATGTGGTGTCACCTGAAGTGGTGAAGGTGGATCAGTCCCAGGTGAAGGCCATCCTCAAATGCCAACGTGTAAAAGTATACATGTGCCCAACTTTATGTTTTGGCCACTTTTTATCACCATTTTATTGGAAATTTCAGCACATTGATTGTGCCCCCATCACAGCATGCATGAAGAAAAAGGTTTTCTGATGGACCAAGGAGGTGGAGAGTAGCTTCCAAACAGTAAAAAGGAAGCTTTCTGAAGTATTTGCTATGCTGGATTTTGATGAGACGTATGAAGTTAGTTTTTATGCCTCATAGGTAGGCATAGGAGCTGTCCTAAGTCAAGAGGGCAGGCTTACAGCATTTATAATGAGAAATTCAGCAGAGCGAGAACTAGATATCCCACATATGATAGAGGGTTCTACGCTGTAGTGCATGCTTTATGTCATTGGCATCACTAATTGGTGCAATGAGAGTTCGTCTAATTTTCAGACCATGAAGTGCTGAAATATATCAATGGGCAACACAAGTTGAATAGGGGCCTGCCAAGTGGGTTGATTACTTGCAAGAGTTTATTTTCACACTGAAACATAAGGCTGGATTTCACAAAAAACTTGCCAATGCACTTAGCAGAAGACCAAGTTTATTAACTAGTATGAAGGCAAATGCTGTAGGCTTTGATAACTTCAAGAAGTTCCACCCAGATCATGAGTATTTTGTAGTAATTATGAGCACACTTATTCTAGTGTGCAAGAATTCTCTTCAAAGGAATTTAATTGTGTCTGAATACTCGCTACAAGAGAAGATTGTTACAGACCTACATGATGAGGGCCATTTTGGCCAAGATAAACCTTAGATTTAGTTGACAAGCTGAGCCAACTTGAAGCGGGATATCACTAGGCATGTGGAGAGGTACATGTTTCAAAGGGGACTGTTCAAATTGTAGGATTACACATCTCACTTCTAATTCTTAAACCACCCTGGTTGGACGTGAGCTTGGATTTTGTGTGATCTATGGATCCATAGCACAGACTGCATTATGGTAGTAGTGGACAAGTTCTCTTAAGATCATCATCATCATCATCAGAGCCTTTTCACAGCTATTTGGGGTCAGCTACAAGAATCCTAGTCCACCATTCTGCTCTATCAAGGGCCATATAATTAGTCAGGCCATAAGCCGCCATATCTCTTCTAACTACTTCCAATCATACCCTTTTGGGCCTAGCCCTTGCCATTTTTTAGCTTTCCACTTGATCCAACTCACACCTACTAACAGGTGTTGTATAGGGTCTACATTGCACATGGCTAGCCCACTTAAAGTCTACTTTCTCTCATTTTATCACCTTTTGGAGCCACACCTAAGTTCTCCCAAATGTATTCATTTCAAATTCTATCCCTTCTTGTCTTACCACTCATCTATCTCAACATCCTAACCTTAACTACGCTCGTCCTATGGTATGTTTTTTCTTGACCGCCATGCATTCCGCCCAATAAAGCAAAGCTGGTCTCACAGTTGCCTTATAGAACTTCCCTTTTAGCTTCAACGGTATGTAGAGATCACAAAAAAATCCATTTGCACATCTCCACCTCGCCCACCCAGCTCTAATTCTATTTGTGACATCTTCCTCAATATCTCCATTTTCCTTGATCACCAGCCCAAGATATTGAAAGTGTGCTGTTTTGGTATTTCTTGGCCGTCAATCTTAACTATTTCCTGGTCTCTACTCCTATTATTACTAAACTTGTATTTCATATACTTTATCTTAATCTAGTTAATTTTAAAACCTTTAGATTCTAGAGCATCCCTCCAAAGTTCTAACTTGTGTTGACGCCATCGATCAAAACTATATCATCCACAACCAAGAACAATATACATGATGGTACTTCATCTTGTAGGTGCCTAGTTAAGTCATCCATAACTAAGACAAAGAGGTATGGGCTCAACGACAACCCCTGATGCAAACATTTTGTCACTGAAAACTCACTCGTCTCTCCACTAGTTGTTCGCACACTAGTTAGCGCTCCCTCATATATATTTCTCACCAAATCAATATAGTATTTAGAGACTCCTTTCTTTCCAAACACCTACCAAATTAAATCTTGAGGTACTCTATCATACGCTTTCTCTAGATCAATAAATACCATGTGGAGGTCCTTTCCCTTTACCCCAAACTTCTCAATCAGTTGCCTAAGTAAGAAAATAGCCTCAATTGTTGACCTCCCTGGCATAAAACTAAATTGGTTTTCTGATAAACTTGTTTCATGCCTTAATCGTTACTCAATCACTCTCTCCCACAACTTCATGGTATGGACAAGGTTTCTAAGATGGCGTATTTTATTCCTTCTTGGAAAACTATGGATATGTCGCTTGTGGCTAATCATTATTCAAGGAAATTATTTGTTTGCATGGCATGCCAAAAGAACCACCTCCTGTTGTGAACAGAAGTTTTTTAGCCATTTTTTAAGGTCTTTGTTGAAGAAAATGGGTTACTGAATTATCTTTTAGCAGTGCTTATCATCCACAAACACATAGCAAAATAGAAGAGATTAGTTGAAATTTGGGTGACACATTATGAAGCTTGGTTGGAAACAAGACAAAGCAATGGGATTTGATATTGCCACAAGCGAAATTTGCTTTCAATGGGTCAAAGAATCCAACCACCTAGCATAATCCATTCGTGGTATGGTGCCTATACCAAATTTAGGAAAGGTTAGTGGGAAGGTTGAAGATGTGGCTGAACAAATCAAATCAATTCATGAGCAGGTATGACAATCAAGCAAACAATCGAGCCAAATAATGAATCAAGCAAATAATCATCCTTCTGTATGGTCACATCCATTTTTCCTCAATGTCACCGATTTTCCACATGGTTAGCTGCTTAATCTTCAAAAGTTTTTATAAATCAAAACAGTGCTTGGAAGATTTCCAAAAACTATAAAGGTGCTCAAAAAACTAAACTTTCACAATAGTGATTGAATCAATTTTTTTTTTTTACCCCAAATGAGTATTTGAAACCAAATGGGTACTTATATACTAGATGTATAAGGGTATTTTACCAAAATGCATTCAAGTGGTAAATCAGTTTAGTATAAAAACAGAAAAAAAATAACAAGTAATCCAATCCAAGCATTTTATTTATATCCCAAGCATCTAGAGAACCTATACAATTCAAGAGGGTGTTCGAGGCACTATATTGACTATTTCCCTTGGATGACATATGTCATGTAATATATTGCGAATGCAGGGTCAAATGCCAAGTGAAGTATCATTTACCTTGGGAATGTAATCGGGAAGAGATCCACCGCAAAGTTCCAAAGCTTCTTTATATGGAAGAATGCTAGCAGTCACCTAAAAGTGAGTTAACCAGAAAATGAGCATAAATTCTTGTTCAACTAATGGAAAAGAACTATGTTAAGAGTAACACAAAACCAATTGCATCAAATGCTCACCTTCCCACCATTAGAGATCATTACATTTGCTTCTTTTTCCAAATCCTTTTGCTTACTTTGCAGTTCATTGAGAGTGACTGTACCTTTATACTCGACAAATGCACTATAATAGACAATTCCGTCAATAGAGAATTCATGATTTGTACGACAACCATATGCCACACAGTGACAATGTCACCTTTTCTTTTATAAAGAACTGCTCAATTTTATACATATAATTGAAAAAAATTATTTACTCAAGAAAAAAAGATTCAGGCTTGAACAATATAATTTTCGATGCAAGTAGACACAAAAGACATTGGTGGAAACGTACAGAACTAGACTATTCTCATACAATTCTATAAAAGCTTCAATTCCTTCATATTCTTCTGAAAACTTGGATAACAGATCCAAAACATGGTCAAGTTGACATGGAACACTCACATGAGAATTCTTTAAAGGCAAAAAGCCCTCTCCTGAGCATACATAGAATTGTATTTATTACATTCTTAAAACTGCCATGAACTTATCCAAACATTTTTCCTTGAGAAAGAAGGTAACTATAACTAATTGGACAAACACATACCTAGGAGGGAGCTGCCAGCAGGGGACCCCATCAGCATCCTAGTTTTTGGGTTCGCAGACCTCCTTTACCTTTGCCTCTTTGTTTTCCTTTTATTTCTTTTTCCTTACCTTCTCTCTCTCTCTCTCTCTCTCTCTCTCTCTCTCTCTCTCATCTATTTTTCTTTTTGGAGCACATGAGTTGTGGGAAGACCCTCTTCCTAGTCTCTCTACATCCTTGTATTCATCATCTTCTCTCGCTGCTCTCTCTTCCTCTTTTCCCTTGATTATTTCAAAGTCTCTATGAGCACCCGACAATGGGCTACATCGCCACATGTCCACTCAATGGTCATCCGCTCTAAGGATTTGAATTAAAAATAAATAACAAAGAAAAAAAAAGTAGGAAATCACTAGAGAGAGAGAGAAAGAGTACTTTGTGCACATCTAGGGGAAGATACACCGCCACATGTAATCTCAATGGTCATCCTGTGGAATTGAATTGAATATTAGAAACACAGTAAATAAAGCACATGCATTCTCATTGTTCACACCCCATAGTTGATGGAACCGGGAGCAGATTCGGGATTAGATCGATTCAGGGAACGCCAAACCGCCATATGGTGGAAGCTCCCTGGGGTTAGGATCTGCATTCATACACTCAACAAGTTAAGGAGCTAGATCCTAGGATACTTGGGAGCAAGTTCCCATGTCATTGGGATCGAGGTTTTGATCTTGAGAGAACTAAGCTCAACTATTCATAATCATCGTCATCATCTGAGCCTTATCCCAACTATTTGGGGTGGGCTAGACAAATCCGGTTTCGCCATTCTGCTCTATCAAGGATCATAACCTGAGCCAATGCCCGCTTGATCTATTACCATATGCACCTTAGCTTATTACCAATGCCATAGCTATAGTGCTCCAATTTGCTACAATTATACAGTTTAATAATATCATAATTGGCTTTCTATGATATTAAACTATAGTTTTATACCACGGTGTGATTTCTAAAGAAATAAATATATAATACTAAGGAAACGAGTAGTAGCTCCTCTCCTTAGAGGGATCCTAAAAGCATATAGATTGAGATCCCATTTTATAAGGAGCGAGATCCCTATTTCTTTAAACCCAGCTCCCTCTAAGATCCCTTAGATAAACAGCAGGATCGAGTTCCTAAGGTGGAATCGTGGCTTTACCCCCAAAGTTCCCACAACTATTTCACCCCATGCCAGCCACCACATTTTTAATTAGAATTTTTATTGATAGCAGCAATTCCATCGTTTTGGATTTTGTACATGAGGTGAGAGAGATTACACACACACACTCACACAAAAAAAATGACTTCCCCATTTACCCTAGGCCAATTGCAGAGCACACTGGAATATAGCCAAAACAAGACAAAAAAAAACTGAATGAACAAAAGTAACGATAAGAGTGTAAGAATAAATAAAAAGTAGATATTGTTAACCTAATTGTTGCAACCTGTCAATGATTTTTGCGGAAGAAGGTGAACTTCCAATATCATGGAAAATAGTTTTCCAATTTCGCCCTCCAACGCGGTTGAATAATATTCTTTGATGGGATAGAGACTTTATAAAAGATAAGAAAGGATGGAATTGGACATGTGGGTATAACAGTAATTATAGTCATACTATCATCAAGCCAACCTCAATTAATTAGGAAAAGGCTATGATGATGATGATAGTCAAGCGAGATCTAATCATTCCAACACTAGAAATGAGGATGGGCGGAGTTCACAGGTTCTTCAGTTCCTGCCCATGGATCCATGTGGAAGAGTAACAGGTGCATGGACAATGTGCATCAGGGTGCATTAACATTACACACCTGGACAGACTATGATCTAAGGAGCATGTATCATGTCTATAGAGGTGAAGAATGGGGGTACCAAGTTGCTATTGGGTCACCAGCACATGTTCGTGCCACATATACTCCATATGGTGGAGTCTAGTGACTATGGGGCACTAGGAGATAAAGTGATATGTATCATGAAGTAGGTGTGAAACACATCATAACTGAAATTTATGCACTATACTTGACATTGAAAAAAAGACGTTGAGATGCCATCAAGGCGCCTAGACGGCCGTCATTTCGATACACTGAAAACGCATATAACTCGATTACTGCATAGTTTATACCAGCATTTTAAAAAATGCCGAGTCGAACCGGACTCGCCCGGTTCGACTCGGAAATAGTGAAAAAGGAACCGGATCGCCCAAAAATC